TGGTTCAAAAGATAGAGAGACCAAGAAGTTTAACGCAGTTCCTGTTTCCGTGGGATTTTCGGGATGAAAACTGATATTTTTGATCGAACCATGATTCGGCACGAATAGACCGCCTCTGGGCGCTTACTCTTGAAACCAATCTTAATGTCAATGCAATTTCAAACAAATAAAATGTTTTATATACTGAAAGATTGTTCTTAGTGGGTGGGTTCTCAGGGTGTGAAATAAAGTTCGACACACGAATGACTGTAAAACTGTATATTTTGGAGTAAACTAAATATAAACAAAGTTGCACAATAATACAATGGGGTAAAACTCAAATATTTCGCGGCACAACTACGGAGCGCGTGCGTCACGGCTCCGGCGCGGGACTCGTTATCCCCAGCGTCGAGCGGTCAGTGGCGGGGAAGCGGGGGAAGAGGAATAGTGAGGTGGATGTGATGCCTCTAGAGTTGCGCGCGTGCATCCGACACAAACAAAAATCAGAGTACGGAATATAAAGCCAAACTAAATACCATTTAGTTTATTCAATATCTACGCAATACGGATGCAATGGACAATAGTGTTGCAACTCGGGGTACGAAATTTTACAATACCAATGTCGATCGATCGGATTTGGATTCAAGAGTAAGCTGCCTAGAATGCAATGATACCACGGACTCGCAGAACACTCACGTGAAACAACACATGCGTTGTCTTTCGTAGTGTGAGTGGGGTTAGCGAAGGTCCAATTATCCCCCTCCACAATCTCCCAAAACAGACAACAGACCAACAATCCTTAAATTCCTAATCCCCAAAAGGCCGGTAACACACTTGTAACACCTCTGGTGTTTCGGGTGTCCATGAGTGGCGCCGATTGCTAACTTTTCCCAGTTCTCAAACTATCGCAGTAGGTACCGAATTGCACTCAAATAGGTTCAGTGGTTTAAGCGATTGAGCGTCCCGGAATTTTAACGCATAGTTCCTGTCCCGTGGGATTTCCAAGATAAAACAATCATACGTCCTTTCCAGTGCCAGTATCTCAAACTCTCGTTGAACCGAATTGACCCACCACTTCCTTAAAACAGGGGATGGAAGTTTGTATGGAGCATTTCGTAATTTTCAATTACAATCTAAAATTGGTATCATATTTGTGACCAGCAAAACATCGGACACTAGGTACCTAATTCTTTTTTATCTTTTGTAAACCGGCCCTCAGTACTTTAAAAGAGCGCGAGTAAAACCGTGGGCAGAAACTAGGACATGAATAAAATCCAGTTAAGTAATTAAAATTATCTTTTTCTTTAAAATTTCTGATTCTGATACAGCTAAATACTATTATTCGTTCTTGAAACCAGTTTTGTATTGGCAGTCAAAGGCTTAAGCAATATAAGGAACTTTTTGGTAGTTTTTTCCGACATTGCGTTACATTATCAAAATTTTTACACGGTTATCTTTTTTCTCCCATTAAACATAGCCTTTGTTCGTCATCAATGCTGTAGGATTTCAACGGTAAAAGAATTTGTCAAATCGGTTTGGTAGTTTCGGAGCCTATAGGTAGGTACAATTCAAACAAGCAAGCAAACAAACAATCAAATCTTTCCTCTTTATACTGTTAGTGTAGATTCCCAAGCGTTTATTACGATTTCGTATTTGCAGTCTCTATCAAGAGTCGATTAATTCATCAATCAACTAACTAGGTAAGTGATTTTACAGTTTGCACTTGTTTTGTGGTAAATTTTAAAGGTTCTTACTAGTTACCTAGACTGATGATAACATTGACAGTACCTCGTATCAGCTCGTGTCGCTCGGGTCATGACCACGTGACGTTCGGGAAACGGTCTCTATCAGTGGGATTTGCCCATTAGCAAAAAAATACTTTTTAGTGTGTAGGTACTTATCAATTTTTTATAATATACCTATTCTCAATAACCATTTAGGAGGAGTATATAATATCATACCACGTGGTTGTGGAGGCGTATTTTTTTATAGTGTAGTGTAATCCTTTTTAGGCCAAATGCTTATGTGATTGTGATACAACCTTTCAAAACTTGGCATCATTTTCTACCTTTAGCTGTATCTGATGATCCAGAAGCCGCATTATTTATTTATTTTTGAGACTCCCAACAAAAAATACGCTTACATGCTAAAATATATAATCCACCAGACATTACAATAGCCTTGTGATCCTTCAATCATACCATGCGAATACAAACATACAGCAATTGAATTACAAAAATGTCAACAAATTACAACTACAACATAAATTAACTTCACTCACACAACGAACACATTGCAAGCGTTGCTTCACGTCGGTTTTCTGCTCGTTGGTGGTACCACTCCGGTCGAGCCGGCCCGGCGGTACCGAAGCATGGCGAACCCACACTTATTATATAAAACGCTATTACAAATTCGAATATTTGTAGGTTTGTGCGTATGTTTGTTACTCAGTCATATCTAAATGGCTGAAGGTAGATTATGGGCCTGAGTACAAAGCCTACTTTTTACAGCCAGTAACGCAGGCGAAGCCGCTGGCAAAGGCTAGTTTTTTGCGATGCGATTTAGCAGATTCCAGCATTGAAATACGACATACCACCGGGTGCCTGAGACAAAACCACAAAATTAAAATGTGGTTACACCGTCTATGGAATAACGAATGGGTAAAAGACGGCAAATATTACCTGGAGCGGTGAAATAGCTGGATCGGGCCCTGGCCACAGCTTAGTAATTTACTCGTAAACTATTAAGATTTATGTTAACCGCTCTTGTAAAGAAATCATCCTACACGCGTTGGGTGATTATAATCTTTTTTAAGAGACAAACTTTTTCGGGTTTGAGAAATAAAAGGTAACTTTTCAATGTATAGATTGTATTTGTTCATTAGGTATATTATTGCTCATATACACAACACATATACACACATTCTTTGTGAAAACATTTTAGTTGAACTTTTATAAATAAAGTTATCAATTCATTCTTTCCTATGTTTTTCAGCTTACTCACGTAACTGTTTGACGAGGAAGTCAACTAGTTTCAGCCAGGCAGCGGTTCATATTCGTAAGCAGCAGTCACACAACGGACGTAGCGTCTGTCGCGCAGATACTGGAACTGTCGCGCAGATACTGGAACTGTCGCGCAGATACTGGAACTGTCGCGCAGATACTGGAACTGTCGCGCAGATACTGGAACTAGCGCAGCGTGGCTTGCGCGGCCGTGGCTTTAAACGAGTCTAGTTGCTTGTCAAACAGTTACGCAAATAAGCCGAAAATCACAATAATTAATTGAATATGTCTCAAGAAAGTCATTATTCGAATAAAGTAATATTTGATCTCCATAAGTGTCCATACTTAGTACAACCTGTCAACACTATCGATACAATATCAGTCGACATAGACTACGCTGTACCACCGCGTTGTAATCCTCGGCCACTGTACCGGAACAGTGTGACCAGCTCTCAGGTCAGGTCGCGCTGCCTGAAGACCAGTAACACGAACCTACCCCAACCAGCCCAGAGATAACTTAAATAATTTTACCCGTGGCCCGTGTATGCACACAGTTACACCCTAATGTATTGAATCAGGTTGGACAGTGGACTATCTAATTATCTACGAAGTTCAATGACAAAGTTACAACAATGGCGTATGCCTTTAGCACAGTTTACAGTGGCATATACTCATCCAGGTCGTTCGTGAGACCCCTCGAGATAAAAAGGTTCTCGGGAGCGATGATCCCAACATCACTCCCCGACACTTTATACCTGGTACACATTCAGACAGAAAAGGAATCCCTTAATATCCAGGGATACGGGTCGACCATGGGATCACGCGTCCCTTACAATACACGAGGCACGGGGACATTCGTGTGCGAATGTGGTTCTAAATTCGTGATAGCGTACCACACGCGGTAGTAGCAATATCGCGTCACACGCATGGTTGCATCTATTACACAGACAACAGTGAAGACACGATAAGCAAACTAATCAAGAAGGCGACTGATGAGGATGAGAGTGAGCACGGGATTAAGGACTACATCCTGAAAATGGCTTTTAACCACAGGGACGTGGCGGTTGTGGGTGCTCTTTTGGGCGGGGAATGTTCCTTGTGATAAATGGATGCAACATCAGGAAATGTGTATGTAGAAATATGTAGATATAGAAAATAACCAATTCAATTTTGGACTATTGTAAGCTCTATTGGAATCGGCCAACGCAACAAGGGTTGAGGCTTCATGCACAAATAAATGTCCTACAGTCGGTGGCGCTGTGTGTTGGGTTGTTCCGTTCCCAATCAAAAGGTTGACCGGACCAATTGTTGACACACACTCGTGACCGGGTGCCTTCTGCTGGGTCAGGTGGGCTCTCCCATCGTGTTGGTGGGCTAATTTCGTAGAACCGTCGAAATAGAGATAATTGGATAATAGCAAATTATTACGTAATTTATTATTTTAATAATAATTAGAGATGTGGTTAATTGTAGTGTGTAACTAGGTACCTACTTTATAAATATTGATTAGTAATAAATAACAAAAGAGTCCGTGGAGAATGAATATGTAACATAATAATAATAACAAAACAATGGCTTAAGAATGTTGAGTTCTGTGGAACCGGCCGCGCCTGTGTAAGCACTAAGCAGTGGCGCAGAAGATATCGACAGTTCGTCACACATTGACATATCGACCTACACAACACGCTGTCGCTATCTCCCGAGTGACGCGCGGCGCGCCAGGCAAGTATTGCGATTATGTAGTTAGTAGACTAGGTAGTTATGTGTATTATAAGCACGCGATCTCTAATACTCCAATAGTTTAAAAAACATATATACGATCGAATTGAGAACATCCTCCTTTTTTGATGTCGGTTAAAAAGTACTACCTGTTCTCTAGAGAATGCTAGAGTAGGTACCTCCAAGTTGTTGTGATTTGTATATTAATATATCATATCAGTACTTCCGTAGTGCTGTCTGACAGTTACTTGTAAAGTCGATTCTGAGTCCGCAGTGAGATTATAGTTTCATTTTTTTAAAATAAGTGAGTTTGTCACCAAGAAGTGAGAAGAATTACGTCAGGTGAGTTTTTTAATATTTTGGCTTTACATTATATTGTTTTGTTGTATTTTTCACTTGTTGCACCGACAACGTTCTCACTGCATCGGCCACAGGTTGCTGGTAGGATGCTCATGGCATGCCGCCCACCCTACACGTGTAACGTGAACGGGGTCCCTACGGTACTGTTCTACATTGTACTGAATAACTTTACTCAGTACACAATGCTGCCATGATACGCCTCCGGCAGTCAAGTCTCTCGAGCAGACACAGAGGACCTGGGTCCGTGACTCCGTGACTGCTAATGGGAATGAACTTATCTACTAATTAACCGTATATAAACGCACACTCACTTAATGAATACCTACAATATAATGTACAACGAACGGCAGGTACTGAATGCAACGTAGTGTGAGCTACTGAGGGCAGCGCCGGCGGTGCTTCTCGCAGCCCTCTGTACCGGTCGACCCTAGGCTCTCCGACACTACATTATTCACTAATGAGCTAATGGTTATTTACAGGCGACATTAAGCTATTTAAGGATGATATTACAAATAAACAATAGGTATACTTCTATCAGTCAGGACCGCGCGGCCGGCCGGGCAGCACAGCTTACAAACACGCCGAGGCTCGTGACTCGGTCACACGGCACTATTCGTTCGGTTCGGTTCGGTATTAATGGATTCACGACTTTTAGCTGACTCGTCACATTTTGTAAGTTTCATTATACAATTATTTTCATCATCACATATTTATTGCTGTCGAGTGTTTGAGTTTTTAAATTACTATTATTAAATAAATAGACACAGAAATGACCGTGCCACGAGTTATCAAAAGCGTGAGGCTTTGCATGAAGAAAACACTGAATATTTAAGATAGTAGCTCTAAACTCATTTACAAAGCATTTGAACAAATGAAATTATTTACAAGTCTATAAATGTTATAAATAACACTTGTAAAATGTTTGTCTATACTAAATATACATAACATAATATAGATTTAAGTCTTCGTAAAAAACACATGTAAGCGACGCATTTATCTACCTACACAATTTGACTAACGAATAAATATCGTAATTCTATGCGCTCGTGTTACATTACTCTACTATATACAGGACGAGTCCACCCAGAATACCCTGTTGTGTGTACTCTTACTAAATCAATTCCCTTGTGGCGCACATCGTGGCTCCTCTGGAATATTTACCTATTTTATAAAAATAGCTTCATTTATAAAACAATCCATTTACACAATTATGTACAGTACATTAGCAAATAGAAACGTCTTTTTAACTACAGTTTGTTTAAGAATATAATAATTTCATTTCACATCCACAGACGAGCAGCGTCGCCGTGCCGACTAGCGTGCGGATGCGTGGGAGCGACGCGGCGGTGACGTCACAGCGGCGGCAAGTCGTTGTCGACGTCGAGGCGGCGCCGCACCCACTGCAGCACGGCTTCCTGCAACCGACAGCGCGCGTCTAACTCTCGCCTCCGTGCAATCTATCATCAGCATCGACAGCCTGTGAGAGTGCCCTGCTCGATATATTCTACAAAAGAGGGGTTTCCCATAATCTCCACGCTTGGCAAGTGGGTCGGAGAGCGCAATTTGGAAGGATAAGATTTATTAGAGAACTGCCTTTATCTTTGTTATATATTAATTGGGTACTTGCCTTAATCAAACATAAATTATTTCGACTGTTCAATACAAATAATAAAAAATAATCACACTTTCATTCATTGATTTTATGACTAACTCAATTTTAGTATTTTTTCCAGCATATTTGTATGTAACAAATAAGTTTGCTCTTTGACGCTATCGCTTTCACGCTTTCACAATCTCATACAAAATTCGTAGAAAACTGTCAAGTACCCAATTATGTAGTCCGAGTAGTCTCTGGTGACCGGTACGTTTGAAAAACTTGCGCCACGGCCTCCGTGTACGGAGTACATACTTACTATACCTACTCTTTGCGGAGTACGCTGGGACATTTCCCTATACTTAATATACTCTTTGCAAGCATCCAACGAACGTCAAATTGACGACTACGTCAGTAGTAGAGTAAAAAAGTAGTGTTGTGATATACATATATATAATAAGGATGAGTATTTTATTGTACCCGTTTGGCTTTTACAGGCGGTGTTAAATTAGAACACAACCGTCACCCCACCCCGCACCCGTCACCATTAATCAAATAAAGTAATTTTACTCTACTTGTACGAAGCATCGAAGCGTCGAAGCCAACAAGTCTCCAGCAAACGCTCTACAAGTGAACCAGTTGCTGCAGTGTCGTTAGATACGAACATTACTCACTCAATAGTTCAGCTACACCATCACCGCGCTGTTAGTAGGTAGATAGTCGTTAGAGGGGGGGGGGGGATTACAGTCCAGTACTTGCGGGGCTCAAATAGGTGCGGGAAGAGCGGGAATTGGGGGGAGCGGAAGGGAGAGGAGAGACACAGGTCAGTCGTGGTGGTGCGAGTGGTGCGCGTTGTCGGTGTAGTCGTCGTAATCGCGCGGCGCGTCGAGCTCGTCGTCGCGGCCCTCGTACTCGTCGGCGCCCTCCGTGCCCTCCTCCTCGTCCGAGTCGTCGGGCGGCGCGCCCGCGTCCTCGCGGTGCGGCACTTGCGGCGGCGCCTCCTGTCCCACACCATGCACAGCCCGTCGGTTAGTGGCCAGTCACCGTTACAGTATTAGTGGGACAGCGGGTTAGGCACACTACGTTAGTGCTAGACACCCGGATCGAACCGTATAAGGGATAAACAAGCATACGGTCAGCGGAGCGCGGCCGACTGGACGCTGAGAGCGCGGCGCGAGTGCCGGCGGCGCGGCCCGCGAGCCGCGTAAGGGGGCGCACGCACCTTCGTGGGTCTCCAGCCGCAGCCGGGTAGCGGCAGCCCGTCCGGCCCCAGCGGGCACGGCGCGTCGAGCCCGGGCACGCCCTGCTCGCCCTTGTCACCCTTATCACCTTTGCGCCCGCGCTTGCCCACCGGACCCTGCGGAGTTGGCGCACACTGTAATACTAACATCTTCCGATCACGAGCCACAGTGCAACGGGTCGCTCCGCCATTCCACGCCGTGCACTGAAGCGTGCGCCGTGTGTCGTGTAGAGGCCGTGCTGCACATGTTTCATATCACGTAGAAGAGAGTAGTAGCACCTGCACCGCGTTATATCGTACTACTGCAGTTAGTAGGGCATGCGACAGCTGCTTGGTTAGACGCGCGCCGGCCGCATGCTGGCTGGCCGGCGCGCGTACAGTGCAATACATCAGCGATGGGCATTCCGGCACTTACGGGTTCTCCCTTGTAGCCCTTGTCACCCTTGGGGCCCTAACGAGTGGAAACCAAAAATTATTTTCAATAATTCGTTTGGTGAAATAACATTTACTTTTATGACAATGATGAAATAACTAACCTCTTGTCCGGGAATGCCGTCAGTTCCCTGAAATATTAGTGAGCGAGCATCAATTAGTGGGACCGTTGTATTGGACACGACGCAAACTAGGTATGGTAATGTATTTAAGTGATAGTGAAGGCGTACATACTGGCAGTCCCGGGTCTCCGCGCTCGCCCTTAGAGCCCGGCTCGCCCTGCGCGCCCTGTACAGTCACACGAGCGGTTAGTGCTGCACTGCTGTACATCATTATTTGTGCAACTAGTGGCTATACCGATATTACACATTAATCGACGAGTTGTGGCTCATCTTTGTTATACCTACTACACTATCGGTCGCAACAAAGCGTACGGCGCGCCTGGTATGGTAAGCTATAGGTACCTATCATAAATCCATAGCGGACTATGGCGAATACTGTTTAGTAGCGTCAGAGTTTCAGGGGAGGAGGGAATCTTAGACGGTCTTATTTAGCTAGACCCGTTTGTTTGTTTGTTTGGGTTTTTAATAATTACCCCTCCTGATGACAGACCAGAATCTTATTCGGTACACACTCTCTGTTAACTTTTTAATGTCTACTTCTTTTTCTGCAGCAGCAGCTACCTCCATTATGACTATCAAAGTCCTTTGCTTGAGTTTAACATAAAAATATTGTTTAATGTACTTTTATATTTCTTGTGTTAAACATAGAATGAAGTTGTTCCATACTCAGCTCGTCGCGCATTTTACAAATCGATCATAAAACTAACCAGAGCCAGGGTAGCCAGAGCTGATGCATCATTCACGTTGTTTCTGTATTGACTTCCTGATTTGTTTCAGAATATTATTGTTATTAAGGTTCTTTATGTTCGACACCTAATAACATTAGACAGTCCTGTACATATTATACCAAGTAGGTACCTATCTATGTAATGGCTGAACTCGTATCTCCAGGCTGATAGTCCGACCGAGCGACATGTACCCAACCAAAATATTTCTTCTTCTTGTTCTTGCTAAAAGTTACTTGAGATCAATACTAAGTTTTTTTTCATACTATCACAAACTCCTCTCTTTCACATTTTTTATGGCATAAGCCGGTAAACGAGCAGACGGATCACCTGATGGTAAGCAATCGCCGCCGCCCATGGACACTAGTCACAACAGAAACACCAGTGTGTTTTGATTACAAGTGCGCCTTTTGGGAATTAGAATTTGAAGATTGTTGGGGATTCGGGGATTGGGGTAATTAGTCCTCGGGTATTCGGTAACTCGGGTACTCACACGACGAAACACAACACGTTGTTTCACATTGTGAGAGCGTGTTATCACTCCAGTCGACCCATCCATGCCGACGAATGTAAATACATTATGATATCAATCTTTACACAATCTATCAACCTTCATAAGGGAGTGAACAGCCATTCACCTTCTTTGTTAGCGCAGCGCCATTTTCTCACTTCGTTTAAGTTTTATTGTTTATCCTTTCTTGTGACGCCATATTTACCTACTTACGTGCTTTGACTTTGACTTTGACGGTTTAAAAGTACTAAACAGATCGCTTATCCATCGCTAAGTAATTTAAAAATTACATTATTTAATTTATTATTTTGACCTATTTAACTCGTCGAGTACCGTCATTATAGACACAATTATAGAACATTAGGTTGCGGTCACCGGTGACCACTTGGTGTTTGACAGTTTAAATGCCGCCATGTTTATAAGTGTTGCCAATGTATTTTTTTATATTCCCGTATCGTCTCTTAAAGAGGGGTGAAAAAAATAATCTCGCTTGTGAAATAAAAACAATAATAATTTTACTATTTAGGTATTGATTTCACACTTATATTTGCTTTAATGGACCTATTATTTATTCAAACCGATTAAAATAAGAAGGTTCGATTCGATTTTCGACTTACTTTGAAATTATTAAACAGATTTAATAATTTTTATTTTGTTTAAAGGGTGCTAATTTACTAAATTGGTTTTATAGAAATCATTTTAATATGAATATTACCTACTAAAATATTCAAACAAAAAAATTTACACTATATTTTTTACTTTATTTCTAAATGGTCTAGTACTTAATGGCAAATATTTATGGGAGAGGATTTTCATCGTAGCTGGTATCATTATTGAACCGGGTAAGCCGCACCTTTATGATATTGTATGGTGTAGTGACGCTTCATCTAGACATTATATAATCAAAGAGCCTTCCTTAATAAATATGCTATCCAACCCAAAACTATTTTTTTTCAATTGGTACCAGTAGATCTGGAGGTTCGTGATTACAGTCAACCAAACAAACAAACAAACCGTTCAGCTCATCCCTTCCCATCTTTCTAACCGAGTTCAAAAAAGGAGGTTCTTAGTTTGATCTGTTGTGAGTATGACTGTATGTTTGTGCGCATTATATCGCGATTGGCATAACCGATTTTGATGCGGTTTTTAAAGAAGCGTTTGTTACACTTTGGAGAAGGTATATTAATTAACCGACTTCAAAAAAGAGGGTTTTGAACTCAGTTTTTAATCGTAGTTTATAAAAGAAATATTGCGAACTGAACTATTTATCGTAATACACAGTCTGCGCCCCAAAGGCCTTTGGTGTTGCGGGACAACGGGTATTATACAAATATATTGGAAAAAATAAAGATCATTTTCCGGATAAAATAATTTGTTTTAATAGTGAGTTAGTGAACTAACCTTCATGCCGTCGAGTCCGGGCGGGCCCTGCGGAACAAGAACACGTGAGCACTAATGACAGATGAGCAGCGGCCGCTTCAGGAGCGCGCACGCGGCGCCGCACTCGCACGCCGCGCCGCCATCGTGGCACCAGCGCGGCACCAGCGCGGCACCAGCGTGCCGCGTGCGTGCCCCCTACGTATCCGCTAGCTCAGTGCTCAGCGTATGATGCTCATGCATATACACTATGAAATATGCACTTTACTATACTTCGTACTCGGTTTGAAATAGATGCAGCTTTTTCCTATTTTTTCCGTAACAAAGACTTGGGATGCACAGAACAAAACCATTCAATAAGAACAAGAGTTCAGAGTGACCAAGTAACGTAGGCACGTATCTATAGACAGCTGGAGACATCTTAGACACACCTAACAAGCACGGCTCCGGGACGGCGTTTTTGCTTTGGAAACAATATAAAAAAGCTGTTAGTGCGCCCACGGCCCGCTTACAGCTTTTTTATATTGATGCTATGAAATATGTCATAATATATAATTATATGTATATAATATATGACATAAGATGTATTGTTCAAATTTGAATGACAATTTAATTATTGGGTTGGAGCCGGGTTGGAGCTGCACCGGTCAAGAGTGCTTACCTTTAAATACATGTCAAACAAGTTTTAAAACATAGGTACTTGTTGCGTTAGGGATCAATATGAAGGCTGAGACGAGACTTGCCTAGATGAAGGGAAGAATAGGCATAAAAAGAACATTGCGATACATGTAGAGAAGTTAAATAAAATATTTGATGAAGAAAAGAAACACGGGTATGCACGGCATGCAAATATTTATTTTCAAAATAATTTTTAAACAACAATATTTTATGTTTTCGTGATGTATATTATGGTACAAATGACAACTTTCGTTTTCCATAAAAAAACTAAATTCTTAATGTTACGCTTAAAAGGTACACGACGATACAAAGACAAGAAAGTTATTGTATTTATAGTAATAGCGAATAGAAGTGACGTTAGAACAAGGAGCGGCAGCGAGAGCGCGATACTTACCGGTATATTATGTACAAGCGACGCCCGCGGCGCCGCGGGGCCGCTCGAGCCCGCGCGGCGCCGCGTGGGCGACGACGCGCTTCGATACACAACACAACAACAAGAAAGGTCCAACTAATCTGTAAGCCTCAACGGTTTGGTGCTACATATATCACATCGGGGGAATGATGTATGATGAATTAAACAATATCCTTACTCGGGACGCAGCTTGTGTCTTGTTGTATCTAACAGTATGACAACTCGGATCCTGCATGCAGAGGGAAAACAAGTGGAGGTAGTGCGCGTCCCCAAGCTTGCTTATATATACATGGGTAGATTAAAAGTGGACTAAATATTTAGAACATTAAGCTGATTAACTAGTAAGAGTAGCATAGTAAAATACGTACGAATCAACATTAAAGTAGGTAACATTACGTGTTAGTGGGACGGTAACACCGGCGCGGGCGCGCGGGGCGGCGCGCACGGAGCGCGGCGCCGCGCGATTCGGCGCACGCGGGCGGCGCCGGCGAGCGCGCGCGGCGCCCGCGTGCGCCGACTCACTATTCTCTTACGTACATAAGACAACATTTGATTTATTCACATATAATTATAAATTACAGTTAGGCCTATTCTAAGAATTTGGGCGACAGTTTTGTAAACAATTACATTAAAATATAGGAAGATATGACAATGGTCGATACGAAATTTTGTACACGACATGGTTCACTACAAACGCCATGCCGTCGACGATCATATCACATGAGTGCTTATTCTAGACTGTACTAATATATATGTACACGGATACATTGTACTGGAACGCCAACTGCGGCTACAGCCACCACGTACCCACGCACGTCATCAGGCAGGCAACACGCTTGCAACTCCTCTGGTGTTCCGGGTGTCCGTGGACGACAATCGATTGTAAAATTTCGTGCTCTTGAATTCCAACACTAGCGCCTTTTGCATCCCCATTACGTGGACATTGAATGAACTAAATGGTTTTTGTAATAACTATCGTGAGACATACTAAACTAACTATAAATCGCGGATTACTCGCGTGAATATATTGAGAAAAGCTCTACTAGTTAGTTACCAGTAGGCTGCGCGATATCGCCGCGAACGCGCACGCTGCTCATGAGGAAGAACCCTTCTGTGGTTCGAAACTAGTAGAGCTTTTCTCAGTATATTCACGTGAGTAACCCGCGCTTTATAGTGAACTAAATGAGTTGGGCTTTATATGCCGCGCTTTCAATGCTATTTTAACAGCTTCGATTGGGGTTGTTTATTTTTTTTTTACATTGAATAATTATTGAGATTCCATTGGATTGAAATTGCATTGAAATTGAAGATTGGTTTCAAGAGTGAGCGCCCAGGTGATCGTCAGATCGTTTGCCGCCCATTCTATCAAAAATATTAGCCCCTAACACTCCTGTATATTTGTCAATGGCAATGTTTGGTTCATCAGGTACAGCAAAGGGCTAGTGCTAAATTTCGGAAGAATCGAGACGAAATTACGAAAATCTTAGGGGCGACCAAGCAGGCAGTAGGGCTGTGTGTGGAACTCTTCAATGGTTTACTCACAGTATCACTGAACGTTACAAATATTCATTTATATGATGACACCTGAACCGGTTTGGGTAATTTATTGTTGGAAAGGGTACTGTAGTTGACCGGTGTTGTAAGCGGGGCGCGTAGGAAGGACGCGGGCCGTGGGCAGGTGGCGCTGAGCGCGCGGCCGCGACTAGCGACTACTGATACTGAGGCAACACTTACAGTGTACTTGGCACTCTGTCTGCTCGTACACTATCTTTAACTTATTGTACATTTGTATATTTATACCTTTTAAAAATAGTTACTCTGAGCGTAATACTAATTATATTAACACGAATTCACATACTTACAAAATATGACTGGAATTGTTTCAGTGAGGAACAAATTATTATGATATATTTATCTAATATTAATAATATACCCATTTTGCCAACAAGTTTTACATGAGGTATGTACAGGATTTAGGCTCGACCGAAAACTAAAGCAAGTAAGATTTATTACAGTAGTGGTAGTGGTACAGATGAATTTACAAAAATAAACATTAGTCGTAGGTCCCACAGCCAAGTTAAAGCTGCGGTCACGCGATTTAAATATAATACAAGAGCGTGTAGTGATCGTATCATGGTCCAGCGACGCGCCACTAGAGGAGAGCGGCGGGCGAGCGCCGCGATCCTGATCCCGCGGCGAGGGGCCCCGGCCCAGCAGCGTAGGGCCCCGGCCCGGTGCCGCGCGACCCCGCCCCGGCGGCGAAGGGCCCCGGCCCGGTGGCGCGCAGCCCCGGTTACTACGTGAACGCGAAGTCCGGCGGCCAGCGATTCTCCTGCGCCCACACCAGCCCACGGGTTAGTACGCACACACACACTTCACTCGACTACCGTCTACTTAGTGGACATGCTGAGGTATGACTCGTGAAATGTTAAAAAGTCAAGCTAGTCGCCACACGGCACCCCATCCCCGACCCGCAGCCGAGTGTTAGAACAAGCAATAATTAGTTCGGCAATGAGTTACTAGATAATGTAAACACCAAGTAGTTACTTACTCTAGACCCCGTGTCACCGGTCCGACCCGGCTCTCCCGGCAGCCCCACTGGCCCCTGAGGGATGTAGAGTTGATATTCATGCAAATACTTGATTTTGTACGTGTACATACACCACAACTACTGAATAAAGACCGGTGCACTCACAGGAAGGCCCATGGGGCCCGCATCACCCTTCTCTCCTTTTTCACCCTGAAAAATAATATTAAAGAAATGAATAGGCACGTCATTTTTAAGTATTGTAATATGGTAGACGACTGTGTATACAGGTGGTACGTACCGACTTCCCACGCGTGCCCGGTTCACCTTTGTCGCCCTTGATGCCGGGTGGGCCTGCCACTCCTGGAGGCCCGGCGGGTCCCGGCGCGCCCGGTGGGCCCATCATCTGTACATATCATAATATTAAAAATAAAATCATCAACAGCGTGCGGCAGTCCATCGGCCCCTCCTGCACATAAGCGAGTTCGCCATAATCTCCACACAAGCGTAATGTTGCAGCTAGTGTACGCATTAATATTTAAAACATAAGGTTTTTTCACTTATTATTTTTAACTTAAAACCACCCCGTTCCCACCCTACTCTAGAGCTGGGCCGCAGTGAATCATTGCGCTTAACTTGTAATGCCTGTCGGGCATCAGCCTTACTGGGCTTGATTTCTGATGGCTCGTTGAGCGCGCGCGGAATGCGAGACGTCGTGGCCAGAGCTCGTTACGCGATCGATGACACGACGCGTGGATTATAGAGGTACAAATAAAAAAATACCCATGTTTCCTTTAACTCGAAATATTTTTTTTGTTTGTGGGTCTGGGTAGTCCAAAATAAATTTAGTTATGTACTCCAATCAAAAGTCTATTATAAGTAAATAATGGTTTCCAAAAATAGTTTTAAAATCTTCCAAAGTTTAATTTTCATTCACAGGTCTGGAATTTCTCAACTACTTAATTAACAGTCACAGGAATAATCTGTAATGAAATTGTTTGCTGCTTAATAAATGGTATGTATTAAGGTTTTCATTAATGATTTTGTTATGGGCATGTGTGGCACAACATTCTTACCTATCAGTGGGTCGGTAACTTAGCAGTACACATGACCGATAATAGTTTCTTTTTAACCGACTTCCCAAAAAGCTCCTTCTTTTTGGGAAGTCGGTTAAAAAGAATTATCAATTCGGCTGTACGTTTTTTTTTGTGTGTATGTTACTGTGATGTTACCCGATTACTCCAGCGTTTGTGGATGGATTTTGATAATTCTTTTTTTGTTAGAAAGGTCATACTCTCGGGGTGGTTCATTTCCACCAGGTCAGGATCTGATGATGGGATCCCATGGAAACCGAGGGGAATTTTTCAAAATTGTATGTGTGGCGAGAGCGTTGGTTAAATCTTTGATAAAGTAGGTATTTGAAACTACTACAATTTGATGAAGGGCTGTCTAGAGTTGATGTGATGATGGAGTCAAGAGACAGCCGAAGGAACTTTTAGCAATGACCCCGTGTTTGAGCTTAAATTGTTTGTACATACATACAGTCCAAAAAGTATCGGGAATGAATGATTTGTTTAGGGTTCCAAATTCAAATTTTTGTTTTTTTGTAGTTGTTAGATTGGCACAACTGTTTTCCATTTTGGCGCGGAGTTTGAGTTGCATCTGTTATTTATATCAAATACAGTGCTGGTTTTAGTAATATCATATTACATAGTGTGTATTTCGAATTTCCTATTGGACAAAAATATCGAACAAAGAGTTTGTCTTAAATTTTGCATCGCCAATGGAATTTCGTGTTCGGAGTCACTGAAAATGTTACAGAAAGCTTACGGTGAATCGACTTTATCAAACCTCATGCTTATGAGTGGTTCAAGCGGTCGAGATGTGATGGAAGATTTGCCTCGCTCTGGTAGACCGTCAACGTCTGCAACTGAAGTTAAGATCGCAAAATTGAAGGAAATAGTGACTGAAAATCCCCATTCAACTCTGAGAGAGATAGCCGCCGAACTTTCTGTATCTCACGAGTCGATCCGTACCATTTTAACTAATCATTTGGGTATGAAACATGTTGCTGCTCGGCTAGTCCCAAAAGATCTGAATTATCTCCAAAAACTCAGTCGCATGAAAGCCGCTGAGGACATGCTAGAACGAGTCAGTTCAGACACAACATTCATGAAACGCATTGTTACTGGTGACGAGACGTGGGTTTACGAGTTTGACAAGCAAACTAGTCAACAAGCTTCGGAGTGGCGCCTTCCAACTGAACCGAAACCGAAAAAACCACGCCAAAGTCGATCAAAAGTCTAAGTCATGTTGACTGTTTTCTTTGACTATCGCAATATTGTGCACTCTGAATTCTTACCGGAAGGTCTAACGGTAAATAAAGATTATTATTTGAGTGTTATGCGGCGATTAAGAGAGCAAATTCGACGAAAACGGCCAATTTGTGGAAAGAAAATATCCCGCACCTGTCTATATGAGTATATATAAATACGTATAATATGGCTTGTTTTTTTAAGGGGGGTAAATCATCGAATGACTGCTCCCGCTTGGGTGAGGCGGGAGGGAGTGTCAGACTCTTATTGACTAAAAACCACCCTGTTCCTTCTCCTGCACGTCGAGCCGGAGCCCCGGATACCCGTTAGGTTCTCCGCGACACGTATAGTATGGCTAGGGTCTAGGGACTGTAGGGCTAGGTTTAGGCGCGTACGAAGCGTAAGTCTGTATCACAGCATACCACAGTGTACCACGATAGTACGTGCCTTAGGTTAAGGGCCTAGTAGTAGGTGCGTAAAAGTGCTGGTCTGTATCACAGTATACCACAGAGCACCAAGCCTATATGCATTATACGCTAGGCAAAAATAGGATACGATTCAGACTACATAGTGAATTAGGCTTAGGGGGGGGGGGGGTTAATTAGGATTGTAGGACCTATCCTATTATTATAAGGACTAGATTATCTAGGATAGTGTAGGATAACGTTAGCTAGTAGTCATTAGAATTAGGTAGTCCTGTACAGTAGGATTTTAGCCCCAAACTATCACCCCGCTGTACATCTAGATCGAATGTAATTGTCATTAGGGGACTGATGATGAAGTAGTATGATAGCTAAGGGACCTCCTCAACGGTTAACAGTAGCTACCTGGTGTTTGGGAATGAATAATTGAATAATTAGTAGTGATGAGATCTTTACACCTAAATGGGGTATGGTTGCCATTAGGGGCCCGATGATGAAAGATTATGATAGCTAAGGGAACTCCTCAACGGCTGACAGTAGCTACCTAGTGTTTGGGCTTGATTAATTTCAAGTGATGGGAACTTTACACCTAAATTGTGTATAATTATCACTAGGGGCCTGATGATGAAGGAGTATGATAGATAAGGGAACTCCTCAACAACTGATAGTAGCTATTTGGTGTTTGGGCTTTATTAATTTATTTTGATGAGAACCTTACGCCTAAATGGGATGTGATTGTCATTAAGGGCCTGATGATGAAGTAGTACGGTAGCTAAGGCTACTTATAAACGATTAATGGCTACTATTAACCGTTTACCTGGTGTTTGAGCTTGAATAATTAGTAATGATGAGAACTTTACACCCATGTATGATATACGTAGTATACAGGGTTTATATAGCCGTGACTAAACTAAAAATCATACAACCGCCTATTCCCTCGGGGTGAGTAGCGGGTGCTAGGCGCGGGGGCGCCTACATCCGCATTGCACTACTTTTCGCGGGATGGGAGCGGTTGGCACACGACCGTTCCCGAGACCCCTCCCCGAGACAGGGAGGGCCGTGATATGGCCCAGGGCCATATCACGGCCATCTGGCAGGCTTAGCCGAGGGGGCCTGGTCGTAGTATTTTAGGCAGTAGATTTAATATTTTCAGTAAGGACAATTATTCTTTTCTTGTCGGAGCTTTTATTACTACCCATAATCAAAAGATCTTATCTATAGAAGTGATAAATTAAATTTCGTTAACATTTCCATGTTGGCTATATGTATATTTTGTGTTTACGCGAAACACTAAAACGAGTGTAGTATGTTATGTAAAAATATTTTGAATTTGAAAAAATAAAATAAAAAAAATACTAGAATCTTGTAACTCAGAATTTAATTTGGCATAACTCACTTCGCATCATTTTATTGAGTCGAAGATTTGTAAGGTAACACAAACTTTGTCATTAAAATAACTATCGTGAGATCAGTACTTATGTAGTTTACTATTCCATTTTCTTAATAACTCGTAAAGGAAGCAGAATGAAGTTTTCTTTCATTCCTAATACCGGAGTTTATGTTGTAGTGTTTGCACATCCACTATACCTTTTGGAAAATAGTAGGCATCCCTAATGTTATATTTTTATAATAACTATAAATATACTAAATTAACTAAAAATCGTGGGTTACTCACGTGAATACTGAGAAAAGCTCTCATAGTTTCGAACCACAGAGAGGTTATTCAGTGAGCAGCGTGCGCGGTCGCGGCGATGTCGCGAAGCCGACTGGCTGGTTCAGAAGGTTGCGCTCGCATCAGTGCGTGTTGCTACTTGCGCTGCGAGCCCACCGCGTCCTCTGCGGACATCACGAGCGTTTGCTTCCAACTCCGGCGACGATGTAAGCGCACGCTGCGTTCACCAGCAGCGCGGGTAGTGGTTTCGATTCCAGGTTCGGCACAAAGTCAGTGTTACATATAACCATTATATCTGTGCATATAACGCTTACTGTGTCGCACCCCAGACTGAAGACGCTGTGGATCGACGTAGACTCCAAGCTCGGCGGCCACGCGGGTGGCAGTGCCCAGCCACCATCCCTGTTGAAGCACGGACGTCGACTAATCTCGATGGCCTCTCGCACTTCTCTCGCTAGTACGTAGACCTTATCAAACCGTATGAAGTGAGCCACGTCCGTACCGCAAACATGTTCAGCCACTGCCCATGCCTGGCTATCCATTTTCTTCACGCTGCGTATATGTTCCTTTAGCCTGGTTGTGATGTTGCGACGAGTTTCCCCGATGTAACTCGAGCCACAGTCGCACGGTATTATGTACACTCCGGGCACCGCCAGCGGATCCTTATCTTTAGGTGAGCGTAGTCGTTATCTTAGTATATTCACGTGAGTAACCCGCGATTTTTAGTAACACAAATTTGTTTATTTGTTTGCAGATACTTACAACTTCATGTCCATAGAGCTCGTAGCCGGTGCCATCTCCCTGCAAGTTCAACAGTGGGCATAAAGATTAACAGTTCGAGCACGAGGCGAGGCGTGGCGGTGTACGGCTGGGAGTGGATAGTTACCTGGCGCCGCCTCAGCTTCCTGTACTTCTGGCGAGCGTCGTGCAGTCGCGAGCCCGCGGCGCCGGGAACAGAACAACACGACACGTTACTTCTCACTCCACAGTACTACACATCTAGATATTGTGTGCTTGCGTCATTTGACACATGACTACATACATAATTATGTACACTATTCAATGGAATTACCAGTATAGCTGGGAATTGGAAATTATCAAATAGTAGACAGAGTCCATTGCTCGTTTCTCTCCTTAAGAACCCATAGATTGACACAACTTGTTCCACTCACCTACAGGTGACGAAGAAGTCAAGATTGACGAAAAAATGTACTTTTAAATAGAAATTCGTTAAAAAATTTACGACTTTTTTTCAACAGTATTAAGATGTCGTCCTGCCTTATTTCCAATGACTCTTAGAACCGTACCTACTACCTACTCTGCCTACCCTAATGAGAAAGTAATAAGTGACCGCGTCTCACCGAGTCGCCTTTGTCGCCCTTCTCTCCCTTCAAGCCGGGGTAACCCGGCGGTCCGGGCAGGCCGGGCGCGCCTAGCATGCCAGGGGAGCCCATATCTCCATACTCGCCCTTGGTTCCTTTGGGACCCATCTCGCCCTAGGATTCAGAACAAAATTCAAGTAATGATTACGTAATGTAACGAGTGGGCAGTGCTGCAGTGACGCAGTAGTGGAGTACTGACCGGCTTGCCGGGCGGCCCCTGCACGCCGGGCAGGCCGGGCGCGCCGTCCGCGCCGGGCGGCCCGCGCGGGCCCGCCTCGCCGTCGCGACCTGCACACACGCACTCACTGACTCGTCCACATATGTACTCCTTCAATAACGGATTTACTTATTTTACACAATCGCGGCTTCCATAACACAAAGGAATAATTTAATGTATGAGCCAGGGCCTACCTAACATATAGGTAGGATATGATATAATATTATAGAGCGTTAGCACATTAGATACTAGAAATGTTTGACATTTTTATGCCCTTGTTTTACCGAAGGTGCGATTGTACAAAAAGTGAACTCTTTACAATACGTGATGTAAACTTAATGTAGGTATGTATTATTGGAAAATGTGTTCATCCACCTGCTTACCATCGTACAATTTCATTAAATATAGGTTTTTTTATGGAATAGGAGGCAAACGAGCAGACGGATCACCTGATGGTAAGCGATCAGCGCCGCCCATGGACACCCGCAACACCAGAAGAGTCACAGGTGCGTTGCCGGCCTTTTAAAAAGGAATACGCTCTTTTCTTGAAGGTTTGAAGGTCGTATCGGTTCGGAAATACCGCCGACGACAGATCATTCCACAGTTTTGCTGTGCGGGGCAGGAAGCTACGTCCGAAGCGCACAGTTGTGGCCTGCCAACCATCTATATATATATAGGTAGTCGTATAATTCGAGGACTAAAACATTTAAATGGCGCAGAGCAGAGAGATCTTCTTTGGCGAATATAATGTCGGGCATTGCTTTCGGTAGCAAATTTTTTTCTTACATTAGTACCTTCTAACAATAACAAACCCAATATAAAAAGAATTAGCGACAGCGGTTCGGCTGCTCTCGAGATTTGCAGCACATTGAGTGAATCATTTTTATATCATAGACTAGCTTCTGCCAGCGGCCTCGCTCCCGTTTCCATGGGATAACAAATGGTCTATGCAAGTGGATTACACTCACAGAGCCGAGTATCAGAATACAGAAGTGTACGAGTAGACATGCGCTTGTGAAGTTTCTGCGCCAGTAGCCTAGCGGTTACATGTATACAAAGTACGTGAAACGGATTACCTTGCAAGGAGAGTGCACGCGGGCCGCCGCCGCCGTCCGTCAGTCGTCACTTGTACCACAACAACAACAACTACTCGGTTCTTTGTGGCAGGTGTTACTCGGTACTAGAATCGTGCCAAGCGTGCGCATGCGCGTACCAAACGGCTACAAGGTGCATGCTAAGCTAAACAACAAGCATAAGTGGGTAGTGGCGTGCTGCGTGCGCCGTGCGTCGTGCGGCGTGGTGCGAGTTACCCGCTTGCCGCGCTTGCCGCGCGCGCCCTTGTCCCCGGGCAGGCCGGGCGGGCCCGCCGCGCCGCTGTCGCCGCGCTCGCCGCGCGCCCCCGCCGCGCCTTCGCACAACACTCTCCGTCACCTCACCCGCTATTACCAGCCTAACTACTCCCAGCGCAACATCTCGCCGATTTATCGCAATATTCCTATAGGTTCTTGTACCCGATATATTAACTTTAAATGCGAGCAAATAGCTTCAATAGAGGACTGACCGACTGACACTTTGTGTCTTATTTAAAGTCTAAAAGTGCCTTCTTGCTCTAATTGAAATAAGTAATTGATGTTGAGTTTGCCTTTTTGGCGAGAAGTTGCGCTTTGCTAGAATATTTAAAAAAGCTCTAATAAAAAATAGTTAAGTATAATTTAAAATGTTAATAAACTCGTAGTGTGGTGCACGTGGCCTGCCAGTGAATTAGTTGAGCAGCTACGTGGACTACGTGTAGGACTGGCACACCGACACCGAGCATGCTGGCTACTATAGTGGACAGTACCGGGCGGGCCCTCGATGATGCCGGTCGGGAACGCGTCGCCCTTCAGAGTGGTCGTGTAGCCTCGCTCGCCTTTGTCGCCTTTGTCACCCTGTAATCACAAGGAGCCACATTCACAGCAGACTGATTCAACTCAAAAACTGTACAATGAATATTCCTACTGATGCTCATATTAAAAAATATATTATTTACGTATATAGGTACCTAGTTACATGTATTGCCGAGTTATGTTAAGAACCGTACAAAATAGGCGAAGTCCCGTTACTTGTAACATTGGCTTGTAGTGACCGTTCGGCTAAAGATAAAGTCATAAATACATCACCAACCTGTGAGACTCCGCAGCTGGCCTATGGGGCTCTACTGTAAAAGAGAGAGATGCTCTAATGCCCATGCCTGCCAGGAGGGCTGGAGACCGTTGAAAAGGATTAGGTTTATCAGAGAATGCTACTGTACACCCGCAGGAAGTGGGGGGTGGTGACGTACATATTTTATCTACACCACACGGAGGTCATACATTAACTAAATTACAAATAACTTTACATGCTAACCTTTGGTCCTGCGGGTCCCAGTGATCCAGGTGGACCGACGAGGCCCGGAGGTCCGACGGGTCCCGCGGGTCCCGGGGGACCGGAGGGCCCTGGCGGCCCAGCTCGTCCTTCATGACCCGGCAGGCCTTCTGCTCCCTGCGGCCCTGGCGACCCCGGAGGCCCAGGCTCCCCGGGCTCGCCCTGAAACACGATTACACCATTTCAGTCATTCGACTAGTTTCGCCAGTTCTGCTAGACTGCCGGCCACAGTTCAGTACAGTTACAACATAACAGTGCGAAGCGTGAAATTATTATTATAAAAAAAGATAAAACACTTTATACTTTTTTATATTGTGTACATAGGGTAGCGTCCGCTGCAGTGACGCTACTATACGTACTTATTTGGTGACTGTACATATTACATATATTGTACTGACAACACGCATGCAATTGAGTGCTACCTTATGGGGATAGATAATACCTTTTTAATGGCAATTATCTCTAATGTATTTTATTACATATTAGACTATTTACTGTAAGTTAGTAAGTTAGTACAAAGCTGTAAAGGAAATATTGTGATATTGATTGAATTAAACGAGTTATAAAGGTTAACACAGAGGGGCTCGCGGCGATATCGCGCAGACTACTAGCCACAGAGCCACTGGCTATGTTCATGCTGATGAGGAAGAACCCGTCTGTGGCTCGAAACTAGTAGAGCTTTCCTCAGTAAATTCACGTGTGTAGTCCGCTATTTTTAGTTAAGTTTAGTATGTCTCACGATATTATCATAAAAATAATGACAAACGTTTGGCTAAACCAACAAAGCATTGAGCATTTCTTATAGCTTTATTAATATTTTCAAGTTTTTGTTCAACTTGCAATGTATGTATGTGTGTGAAATGAAATCTTGCAACTGTATTTTGAAGCAGATATTGTTGCAGCAGATTGTATAGCTGTTTAGTTTGCGTGACTATAAATGCTGCCTACAAGTTTGTTATTAATTTTGAACCGATTTCAAAAAAGGAGGAGGTTCTCAATTTGACCGTATATATGCTTTTTTATGTTTGTTCGCCGATATTTACGTTATTTATGAACCGATTTTGACAATTATTTTTTTGTTAGAAGGGAGATAGTTCCAGAATCGTCCCATAGTAAGGAAAGCACTGACTTCTCACGTATCAGTGGGACCCAACCTATAAGTACGTATGACTAATAATAGTTACTTTTTGCTTTTTAGTTTTTACCTTTTGCTTGTTTTTAGGTTTTTGTTTTCGAAGTAGGTTTTTTAAACGCAGTTATTAAAAAGTCCAAAATTTGCCAGAAGTCACTTTTTATTTCTCATTTATACGTTACTTTGGTTTTGTTTATACTTTTGTCTAACTTTGAACTTACTCGTATTATATGTAAGTTATTATTAATGGTCAAGTCTCACGTGGTGCTATCATTCCATGAATATTGAGAGACCTGGCTCTTGTGATACAGGGACACCTAGTACAAGAGCCAAGGCTTCGCTGTGTTATATCTATGAAGCGCCAATAAACGTTTTTATTATTAATATGTATGTCGTTTGGGATTCATTTGGGTCATTTGGGAGGCGTACGAGGGGCTGAAGCCAACTGCGCAGAGGCCAACTTTAATCTAAATGTAATGGACACACAAACCGGCGACTATCCCTGTATGCACTATGGAAGTGCGTCCAAGGACAGACCCCGGTTAGTGTAGAACTATTGTGGATAATGGAAAAAAAAGGTAGGGCTATGGATGGGTTGCTATGGACTAGTAAATGGGGAACTATGGATGCCTATGGCACCTGCCAAAACAATGTAATTACTCCACGTAAAAATGGCAGGCGGAGACTCGCCAACTCACCGACCGGGCCCCGGGAATGGTTGCTAGATATAGCAACAGAGAGGCAACGAGAATGTGAGTGGCTGAAGGGCTAAGAAACTACCACCGCTTTCTACTCAGATCATCATTCTGCTCCAGCCGAAGCCTCCTGCATCCCTGGACCACTCGCGACTTACGAATAGTTTCTTACCCTCCGAGCAGGATCATTGCTCTCGCGACTCCACTCTGGACGGCCAATGAAGACAAGTCAGAGGTGGGAGACCTGTTCCTTGTCATCGTTCACTCCAGCCAGCCAATTAAGGCAAGCCGGAGAGTACGGAACGGTGACTTCTCCCTGAAGCACTCGGGATGATGGTAGCCCGCGGGATCGCTAATGCCCGTCACCTCGTCTCAAGGTGCCATTATTATAATTACTTACTCGAGTATCTATTGTTCCTACTTGATTGCACCTTTGAATGATATGCTACGTAGGTAAATCTACACATCAGATCAAATTCATGCAGTGAAATGAAAGCATGCGTATTTGAGTTAGGCACAAATGATTAGTTCCATAAATAAAGTGTCGTATCCCAGCGCGGAGTCCAGGCAGCGCCGGTCGCGCGTGCGCACTCACCTTGAGCTGGATGACGGTGTGCGCCGAGATGTTGTGGCCGGCGGCCTGCAGCCCCTGCGCACACACGCGCGTCAGCGGCCCCGCAGCCGGCGCCGGGCCCGACGTGCCGGCTGCGGGGCGCGCTTCCACAGCAAGCACAGTTGCAACACACAATACGTAATCTAATCGATACGAACACAATCTACCTACAACGACATGTAAAGCACAACAAGCGCGCGTGAGACGCGTGCGACACAAAAGCACTACTAGCGCCACTACTGCTGTACCTTGACGGCTATGATCTCGGCGCTCGTGTACGGACTTATCTTAAAACTGTCCACGGATCTCTTCACGCCCTGCAATGTCACGACTCATGTTTTACTAACAAGTAACTCCGGTGGCGGGTACTGCCACCGCCACGTGTACATTTATTATCCATTCATGTACAACTGTGCCATTACAACACTAGTAGCGACGTTTCGTCTAGCAAATGAGAGTTTCGTACGCTTAATCAATTTGAATGCCCCATCTTGTACGAGGGCTCCCCGAACATAATGGGTAAACATATGGACAGCAAGGCAGTCGTGGTGCCTCTGGTGTTGCAGGTTCGTATATTTAGGTTGCGGTAACTGCTTGCCATCAGGCCAACCGTAAATGTCTTCCAATGGCAGTATAAATTTGATTTAGTTTCCAATTTTTTTAATACATATATTGTGCTATTAAAATTGTTGTTGTTACTTAACAACCAGTTCTATTAACAAAATTAATATCTGTTATGCTACTACGAGTACGTACCTTAACGGCAGAGAAGACATCGAAGCCAGGGCTGCCATGCTCACCCTTCTGCCCCTTGTCGCCGGGCCGGCCCTGGAGTGAGACGCGTGCACTGGTCAGTAATTATACAAGTCGGTGTGTGCACTCGCAAATATTACAGAGCTAGTACAAAGTAAACACGTGAGGAGGCAGCAGTCAGCGACTGATGCGGCCGTGCATGGTCGCTCGCTGCTGCCACCGCAATGAATAAATACCGTGCGGAGGTGCACCTCGGCCGTGGCCGAAAATTAAACCTTGGTTCACTTTTTGTCTAAAAGTTAAGCTATTTATAAATGTAGTGCACAGGAGCTACTTACTGGGTCTCCCTTAGGTCCATCCAAGCCAATAGGGCCCTGAAAAATACAATAAATACTATATTACATTTAGATAGGTCATATTTGCATCAGATGCAGCAAGTAAAGTGTAATAGCATTAAATGTACAAGGAACGTGATATATATGTACACCCTATGTATATACAGTGAAACCTCGTTAAGTAAGGGCTTCTTGGTAAATCAAGGGACCTGCAATGCCATTTCACTTATACAAGTATTCCACTTACCCAGTGTCTCAGATGTACAGGTATAAATAAATATCTGTCTCATTTACAGAGGGTTCTATTAATAGAGGTGGACTTGGAAATACATGTGTAATTTGTGGGTAGAATAAAAATGAGTAAACAAACAATGTGATCCCAGTTACAGAGGTTTATGCATATAAAATTTACTCGCTGTCTCATTTATAGAGATAACTATGATGATAAATCGAAAGAACAAATATAGAGAGATATAAAGGTTTACCTCGTCCCACTAACACAGGTAATTCAGTGCCAAAGTTTTGGGACCTCAGCATGAGTTCCAGTTATTGAGGTTTCCCACTTATCTAGGTCCCACTTAACCAAGTTTCACTGTATATATATCGCATGGTCACATGTAAGCGTTGTTGTTCTATTAGCAATTAGTTACAAGATGGCACCGAGTCTGTCAGAGTCTGTGAATGCGACCTGCACAAACTCAGGGGTCTGACCATCCGTAATATCATTACTACAGGTTTTAAATTGTAATCAGTGTTAGGTAGTACTAAACTATTTGACTGGCTTATATAAAGGAAATAGTTGCAGTAAGTAGAGGAGCTACTTTAGCAAAACACCAACTACAACTACTAGGATAGATTGTTACTGTGCGAGGTACAGGGCTACAAGGGATGCATTCGCGTTAACTGACGAGCTCGGCACCGAGCTCGCCTCGGGCGGCACGTGGCGGCACGTCATGGCACGTCACACAGACGCAGGACTGCGCACGAGACATGTCACTAGTTACCAGCTCGGTACCACTACCAGTTATGCACGCCGAGGCATTAGCTTTCCAGTGCACACCCTTCTTGGTAAAGAAACTTTACTGCATGTTATTAAATAGCTGCTGAAGCCACTGTCACCAGTGTTTCGTGTAGGAACACTAAATAGGTACAACAGTAACGCAGTAAAAGTCCGCAGATGGAGTTAGTAAGGCGAGGCAGGAGAGGCGCAGAGGGGGGGGGGGGTCCACTAGACTACCGCCTACCATGTCTTACCATGTAGCCTCGCTCGCCCTTCTCGCCCTTGCTACCCTGAAACGTGACATGCGTCAGGTGGCCGGCACCGGCTCGCGAGCGCTCGGAGCGGGCCGGTGCCTCGCTTCTAGCGATCATCGAAATAAAGGGACTTCATGTCTACATGAAGGAAAGAAACCTCATACATAGAATGAAAAGAAATAAAAAAGAAATAAAAAAAATAAAAAAATACCGGGAATCCATTCTTCCCAGGAGCACCCGTTAACCCCTGCAAACGAAACAAAACAAAAATAAAAGGTAACTGAAGCTTAACTCAATACTTTGTCTCCGGATAACGTCTGCACTCTTCCGAAACAAATACAAGAGTATAATAATATAATGTAGATAAGTGCACTGAAATACTGACCGGAGGTCCAGGCTCGCCAGGGTCTCCCTTCTTGCCCTTCTTGCCGCGCTTGCCCGGCGGCCCGGGCGGACCTGTAACAAAAACATTACAAGTTCAAAATACTACAATATTTATAGAGCCATACAGATAATGAATCAATATAGAGCTAAGGATCTTTTTGTTAGGGTATTTGTATCTGGAGAGTGACATCGCGGTGACATCGCGGGCGGGGAGCAAGTACAACACAAACGACTTAAGATACAATATACATATTTTTAATAATTTTGTAATTATCATTATGTGTAAAATGTAATGTGTTATGCGACAATGTGGAAAATTGGCAGATAAAAGACTGACCACCTGGTGGTAAGCTAACAAGATGACGATGATACGTACGTATCCAGGTAGTACAGAGGTCTATAGCTATCTCTACCGTGTGCTGCAATGGCTGCAACAATATGGTTTACTTACATACATCATCTTATATACATCAACAGCCTATTAGTGGCCTCTGTTGACCAAAGGCCTCTTCTCACATGGAGAAGGTTTGAGCATTAATCACCACGCTTGCTCATTGTGTGTTGGCAATTTCAAACTTATAAATTTAAGTTCAGGTTTCCTCACGATGTTTTACTTCACCGTTTGTCAGTGGTGTCTAAATAATCTTAGAAAGTACATATAACTCGGATAAACTCACATTGGTACTTGCCGTTGGTAGGTTTCGAACCTGCACCCTCATGCATGACAAGCGGGCGTCTTAATCTCCAGGTCACCACGAAACTTACTAACTTAAAAATAGATTTAATAAATATCTTAAAGAACGCATCACGCGGACTCCGTGTTCGGGTCGTTCAATTGTGTGGTATTTTGTGCGACAGCAGTAAACCTTGTAATGAGCCTGGCTATAACTGGTACGTGTGTGAGTGTGTGAGTGTGTGTCACTGCGACGCCGCGCCGACACTACGCGCAACACATTAAGGTTGAGGTGAGACTACAGCCACAGTCGGTCGTCTGCTCGTCTCCATCTCCGCGTAGCGGCGTAGCACGTTGCTACGAGATTCGTAGCAAAGGTTATGTTCTCAGTGAATAAACATGTTAAAAAAATTTAATTCATTAACGGCCATTTTCATAACCTATCTATCTGTAGATTTACTTACTGAGATAGAAATTTGACACATTTTCTATGGAGCTTATGTCAACAGATGTAAGAGTAGGGCCTTGTAACGTGTGTGGGACTAGTAACAATATGTACAGGATCGCCTAGCAGACCTGAATTAGCTAGTGCTGCTACTCTCCTAATCATCAGGTCATTATTGCGCCATTACTGCGCTCTCTGAATTGTTATAATCGAGTTGATCCCAAGCGAGGGGTAAAAATATGGCCCTCCAAAGTCGCGACCCTCCCGGAGAGGAATTGTGCGAAAATTGAGTTACCGCTGTGTAAGCGCCATTTCGCTTCAAACTTCAGAAAGTAATCTTATTTTTACGCGCGAGGGTCTGCCGTCGCCGCTGGTATCAGTGTCGTAGTGTCAGCGGTATCAGCGGTGTCAATGCCACGATTGAGTATAAACCATACAATTATCTTCAAAATACATGTATAATTTAAATAAATTATATCATTTTTGGTTATTTGTTATGACCAGGATAAGGTTTGTGAGGAATATAAAAATCAGAGTTGGGTGCTACCCGAGTAAAGTAAGGTCGAACCACTAATGTGGCAGTTTAATTGGAAGTGTAGGTGTGTGATGGTATCCGGTGGTAGACGCCGCGAGCTGGGTGCTGTGTGCGGGGCGCGGGGGGCGGGGCGCGGCTCGAGGGCACTCTGTCATATAGATCAACACGGTTCTGCGGCGGGAAGGTCGAGCAGGCAGGCTTCAAGGTATTCGTGAAAGCGAAATATGTTGTAGTTGAGTGTTTTGTAGCGATGTTCGGCGGCAACAACCGGCGGCATTGTGTGCTGTTACAGCGTACAAATAGCGTCGTCACAGGTACTCCAGCAATTGATCGATCGAATAGAGGGCTTGCATCATACACAATACGATTGTCAATATTGCGTTAACTTGCTGCTTGGCAGAATGTGCTATAACTCTGCAGTAAGTGGTTCACATTTAACTCATAGTCTCTCTGATATTATTTCATTTAGTACGTAAATTATGCGCAAAATGGAATAATTAAAATATATAAATCAAACGTTGTGAACGTGAGCCTCAACGACCGATTCATTGCTGATGCTAATAAGCCACAGCTGTCGATTGAATAAAATATCGAAAATTTGATTTAAAAGAAGAGACTTCTAAATATTTTAATAGCAGAAGTCTCTGGTCGGTTACAATGCAGTACAGTCCCGCTCAGTTATCAACTTGACAATTTATGCAACAGATTGTTTCCAGAGTTAAATTCAATTGAAGATTGCCGGCGTCTGGTGGTGGAGCGCACATAATGAAAGGGGCCTAATACGGTATCACTAAACATTTGCATAAAGTATTTGCAAAAATTGCGTTCCGGGTTGTGGCAGGCGGCGCTACGGTGCAGAATCTTAATATACCTCCCCCTCCTTGCGCGGTAAGTTATTGTTCTAACTTTACTCAGATTTCAGATTATCGAAAGAAAAAAAAAATTGTAGATAGCGGTTAACTCACTCAAAAGTACATAAGTAAGTAAACTATAAATATGAAACTGATATCAAAAACGGAGAAAGTTCTCATTCCGTCGGAATATCTTTCCAAGTTTTATATGCATAATCATCATCATCATATCAGCCACAGGACGTCCACTGCTGAACATAGGCTTCCCCCAATGACTTCCATTGGGGGAGGCCTAAGTGCATAATGATGTTCAGCAATTACTCGCTGACGAATGGAAACGCACGAGTTGTCAAAAGAGCGTGTCTATTACTACACCTGACGACTAATGACACAAGGCATTGTGTGTGGAGACTGAAGAGCAGGGCGCGAGTAGCTGGCACGCAGTCACCCTGGACACACGCTAGCAGTGCGGACGATGTTGTCTAATGAGTAAATTTCTGGCGAGGAATGCAATATATCGTCCGTGCGGTCGCCGCGAGGGCGCGCGACCCTCTGTTTGTCTTACAGCAATACCTAACGAAGACAATTCAAATGTGTAATAACACAGTTGAATCGCTATTTCTAGCAATTCAACTAAGACAACAACAACTAACAAACTAAGTTTATTGCATCGTAGATGCATACATAGACTAGAAACTTCTGGCTTGTGTCTTTTCAATACTCTTTGGCTAGTCTTGTACCTATTCCGGTAAGAACTTATTTTCCGAAATGAAACTCTTTCCTAGTGCGTAAGTAGAGAAGTAAGTAAGGCTCCAGTAGCAGCTAGCAGGCGGACAACCACAGTGAGCAGCGGCTCACTGTGGTTGTCCGCGGACACAGACACGCGGCGAGTGTGGCGAGTGTGGCGAGAGTGGCGGCAGTGAGTGGCGCGCGCTACGTCGCGGGGCGCCTGACATAAAGTTTTTCAATTAGTTGACCAACACCACATCGCCCTCTCTCATGTTCGAATACATTTACTTTCGAATCCGTTCCAAATGAAATTAGTTTTCTACCGTAGTTACACTTATCACTTACCACATAAACAGTATTATGATGAGTGTGTGTGTGTTTAGAAATAAAGAAAAAGCAGTTGTTTGTCAAGTGTACATGATATAACTAGGTTTTTTAGGTTATTTAAAATAACCAGTTTCGTACCTTGTAGTATGTGCTCCGTATTCTTAATAGCATACAAGTTTCAACAAGATTGTTTGAGTAAATGAAGCGTAAAGAGGTAACAAACATAACTTCTGCATTTATAATGTTAGATAAGATGACAAAATAGAGAGACGTGGGATTGGTGTATTCTGAGCAAGCAATTAAGATTGTAATCGAGGTCACACATCGCGCGACGTTTAATACGTCATTTGTATGCGCGCGTGTGATCACATCTCTACAGAAAAGGTTCGCTGTGCACGACAACTTTGTAATTACAATAATTGCAGATCATTTATGCGTGACCGTATCTTTGGTATCGTCCGTCTACTCTACGGTCTAATAGAAACACCAAGTATGAAGTGCATGTATGCACTTTATAATTTCTTAATGCGGTTAAATGTGTCCTGTGAAGTGGCACCAGTTGTGTTGTCTCCTGAGTGTTATGTTTGTGAAACAATGTTTCAAAATATTGTCTAGTCAATTACACGACCGGGAACTAGGTTCTAATACCTAGGTGAAGGAGTGTCGGGAGCGGCGCATGTTTGCCGCCGGCTGTGATATATTATAATTCATTACCGGTATAAATTACTCGGCGCCCCGTGTTATTACTGGCTTACATTAATTCGTCAAGTGTGGTCCGGCTCCGCCCACGCGTCAACTTCAATTAAATAACATTACTCGGGACCGGTTCGGACCGGCTCCGACAGCCTCCGAGCAGAATGAGTATGAATGATGTTTTTGATCCAGCTATCAAAAACATCATTCGTCGTCATTCCCTATTACAATTCTTGTGTGCCTGTGTGACGCCTGGTGTCTTCTTCTATTCGCTATACAAGAAGTTCAAGTGAAACAAGTGAATTTATTTCTGCAAATAGGCTACAAGGCAGCACTTTTACACGTCAATTTAATCAAGCGAACGATGAGGCCGACATTTCCTAACTGACTACTCTGAGAAGAAATGCCGAAACAAACTCAGAGGTCTCTCTCTTTTACAGTCCAGACAAATGTGTATAAAAGATTATGTGTGAGAACCGTGCAAGTTCTTTCTGTAGTGGCCTTTTGAGGAAAGAACCACAACAGTTTGAGCGGACCCGTTCTGTAGGCAGTACGCATGTGTCGGTTTACAGTGAGCTCAATTAACAAGTGAGGCTGACTGATTCGACGAACAATACCAACCTAAAGAACATTTGCGTGGGTCGCACTAATACTCAAACTGTCAGAATATGAGTAATTAGAAAAGAAATAGCGAGGCAAAGTCTCGCACGGTCCTAGCACTAACAATTGTTTTTTTTTTATATACCTCTATATTTATTTATTTAAGGAACTTTTAACAAATTGTTACACCAGTTCCATCGAAACCTTATCTAACAAATA